CGTAATCATCAGAGTAGCAAATAAGAGTGACACAGTAAAAAGAAACAATGAGTTATTTTTTATGTTTTTTTTGTCAAATATAAGATAAGATATCATATTTTAAAAATTTAGTATTTTCATTTTAGACACCTCCATCGTTTTGACCTAATATTTCAATGCCAAAATGGTAAATAACTACTTTTTTAACTAAAAATATACAAATAAATAATATATTGTTTTGTTAGGATTAAAAATTGGCGAGGCAGAAAGTCACAAATAATTTTTTAAAAAATTTCAAACATTGAAATAATATAAAAAAATTTAAAAGTAATACTTTGTAAGTAATTATATATTGAGAAACTATGGTTACCTCGATGGTAAATGGTAACACTCGTTGAATTTGACACTTTACGTCATTTTATTAATATATTTTTGTACTCTTGTGCTTAAGGTTTTTATATTGTTAAACACGTCGCAAAAATTAATACTTTTGTAATATTTGAAAAAATAGTATATTGATTTATTAGGAGTAAAAATGACACTTTTTGTGGCTTTTTGGACGTTCGACATTATAGGCTAGGCTCAAAAAGTAATTTTTACTCCGTATAGAACATGTTATTATTTTTCAAACGCCACAAATAATTTTTAAAACAATTTCAAACGTTCCAAATAATATAAAATGATTTAAAAGAAATTTCCTTGTATGTAATTAATTATCACAAAACATCCCCCTTTAGAACTTCGTCTGTCATGTTAAGAAATGGAAGTAAATAATAAAGCGCCTCTCGTGTTTGTTCGCACTCAAAAAATTTCAAATAATGCCTGTATATATTTTAATATATTTTTTAAATTTACATTTTTTTAATTGTAAAGTAATATATTACATTTAAATGAAATATATTACATAACAATTATGTCAATTACAGGATTACAAGCTTGTTTTCTAACATTTTTTAAATAAAACGAATTATAAAATTTCAATATATGTATATTTGTCGTAGGTATGAAAAAAGTAAAATATAAAATGGACAAACGCTTACTTACATTGCAATAAAACATCCACTTTTAGTTTTGCAATCCAAACGCAATATTTCTATTTCACAAATAAAAATATCCGACAACACTAAAATCACTGAAATTTCCGCGGTTGACAACGAAAACTGAAAAATATAACGGCACTTTTTGTTTTGAACCTGCATATCAACATTACGCTGTACTATTATGTGTTTGTTGTTGAAATAATATAAAATATCTAATTATAACTTGTAAATTTTAATATTTTAACATGATTTTAACTACTTTTGACAATAACCTTTACAATAACTAACTTTTTGTTATCAAGATGACATTTTAGACGGCAACTGACATATATGTCATAATATTTGAATCTTAAATATGTATGTAATATAATTTAAATTACTATAATGCAACTTTATACTTAGAAAACATTTATACATTCACAAAATACAACAAAGTCTAATAATATAGTTTGAAAACAATGAATATTGAATTAAAATTGAAAAAGTTAAGCCCGACCCCTTGTGTCAAAATTAGAAGATTAAATTTTCGCAATTTTTACACCATTTGATGACCGGTGGCGCCTCTAGTGTTTGTTCGGGCGGTTGGGCTTTTACTCCCGCTTATGGCCATTAAAGAAAAAGTTCTAAAGGGGGATGTTTTATGGTAATTATATATCGAGAAACTATAGTTACGCTTGTTAAATTTGACACTTTATGTCAGTTTAATAATATATTTTTGTACTTTTGTGCTTAGGCGTAAAAGTGCTTTATTTTTATGCCTAAGCGTTAAAATGACGTTTTTTATTGTCATACAACGTCGCAAAAATTAACACTTTTGTGACGTTTGAAAAAAAAATATTTTTTTAGTGTTGTCAGTTTACTTGTTCGCTCTGAATATGTTTTAGAAAATATAGAACAAGATAAAATACAGAAATCTCCGCAAGTGCAAGCTGTTTTACCAGCTTTTTGCCTTTTAAGGATATCTCTAATGTTTTATGTAGCAATACATGAAGTCATTATTTGCACAAACATATAAAGACTGAGATTTATGCAATATATTTATACATGGCAAGCCCTTAATTTGTTCAGAGTAATTAAGTTTAGAAAATAGTACGAAATATGAAATTAATTGAATATATCTTATATTTTTGTGGACAAATAAAAGTATAAGATAAAATACTATATGTATAACAATTTCTTATTTTATTTTATTTTTAGACACCTCCATAGTTTTGACCTACTATTTCAATGCCAAAATGATAAAAATAATTTTTTCAACTAAAAATATCTGTGAGTTATCTGCACGATTTTATTTTTAATGAAAAATAATAGAACCAATAGATGCACTTGCATTTATTTAAATTAAATAGATATATATGTATGTTGAGAAATAACTTTCACATTATTGCCGTCTACCAGAGTAAATAAATAAATAAATTAGTCAAAATACTCGTCGATCTTACATTACGTTACGTTTCAGAAGAATGAACGGAATAATAAGAAGAAAATAAAGCAATTACTTAATGGATACTTACTTTCTATACTATATCCATATACAAGCAATACTTCCCAATTAGTGTACTTAAAAATTTTATACACATCATTATACGACAGAGAAAATAAACATTGATTCTGGATAAACCTTAAAATTTTCTTCTATTTTAAAGTTCAATATATTTTGTTCTAGTGCACCGATTTTGATGATTTTTTAAGCAATGTGTAGCCAGATTATATAGCTTTTAGGCTCCTTGTTAAATTAAACATCCAATTCTCCGTCTGTCTATTATACGAGGAAAAACAAAATGTTGTTATTTGGGCGAAACTTTGAAACGCCCTGTGGAATTATTGAACAAAGTAAAGAATTTAAAAACCACTGTATCATTAAGGTGCATCTTTTCTCGATAGTTTGTTTTTTTGATTCATCTCAATTAGCTTTATTTTTATTGGAAATATTCCCTTTTGAAGAAGACATTTACAGCAATTTTAGCATAAAAGCATGCCTTTGCTTTTAATCCTCGTCAACACAGACGGAGTGACATCTGAAATAGTGGCTATTTTTTTGTTATATCACTATCATTGAAAAGGTATATTATTGTTGTTTGTAGACAATAACTCTAGCAAAGATGCTTTTAGGTCGAGAAGTTTATCTCTGCCATATCCAATAAAAGCAACAACAGTATAAAAATACATAATATCAACTTATAGATGGTGTCCCTACTAAGTAATATTTTCTATTGCCATTATATATATAAAAAATAATCTATCAAATTTTTCTATGGAAATAAAATCGGAATAACTCAATATTTATTCAACATTTATAGGTTTTAGCTTGTCAATTTTGATAAACCATAATAAAGTAGTTCAAATATGCACATTTGAAACTCTATGCAGTCAAGCCATATCATATAAATTGTAAAATAGGGCATCATGATATATGGACGTAAATTTAAATTTCAAATTGTTTGGTTTTATCCTTTTTGGATTTAAATTTTTGTTTCGATTGCAAAATGTTGGTGGTGTATTATATCTAATTGTGGTCTGAAATTTAAATTTATTTAAATTTTTTGGGCACAGGAAGTGTTTTGTTATTTGATTAATTTATTGATATAACTCTGACATGTAATAGTTGAAAAATGTTCATAATTAAATAAAAATGATGTTAAAAATAAAAAAAGTAAATAAGTATTCCATTTCACCAAGAAAATCCTATATGGGAATTTCGCCACTGCAAGAAAATCTACAAAATAAAATAGTTATTTTTTGTAAACACTTCTGGCGTTGATCCAAACGGAAACTACTTGTCAGAAGTTAGGTTTACAGATATATACAAATTTGCCTAACCAACAAAAAAATGTCTAACGTTTCGGACAGTTTATCTCTTTCCGTCGTCGGAAGCAAAAAAATACAAAGAATAAAAAAAATCCTATATGAGTATTTCGCCACTGCAAGAAAATCTACAAAATAAAATAGTTATTTTTTTGTTAACACTTCTGCGTTAATCCCAAACGGAATCTACTTATCACAAGTTAGATTTACAGATATACAAATTCGCCTAACAAACAAAAAAATTCTTAACGTTTTGGAAAGTTTATCTCTTTCCGTCGTCGGAAGCAAAAAAAAATATAAAGAATAAAGAAAAATTTATTTAAAATATTTAAATTCAACTATTCGAGAACACTTTAGTTTATTAAAACAGATACGTCTACAAAAAACCGTTGACGTTCTGTTAAAATGACCATTTTATCAAGTTAAACTTAACAATTACTACCTGATAACAATTACTTAATAAGGTAAAACCAAAAAAACCCCAAATTTTCTGTATGATTATTTTTAATTTTTACGTATGTTATGTTTATTTACGTTATGTTCTTTAAAATCAAAGAAGCGGTTGCCATACATTACTAACATCTACAAATTTATTTTTATTAGATTGAATTAAAAAAACCTCTTTTATTTTTCTTTTAGAGAGGCTATCGCTTCTTTCATTACAATTGTGGCGTTATTAAAATTTATTCTGTGCCCTGTGTTCCATGAATGCTGACAAATCTTAGATTTGTGAAAATCTCCCTGTCTTAAAAAATAATCTTTATGTTCTTTAATTCGAACATTTAAGGGTTTAAAATTTATCGCATTCACATATAATATGTAGTATTTAACAAGTCTGTAGATTATCAAATTATTGGCAAATAAAATAAATTTCGTGATGAGTACGTGAAACGGAAGTACGTAGGCGATGTTAGACAGGAAGTTGACAGAATAATACTGTCTATAGCAAAAAACTCTTTGAATTTTGCTTTGTATCGTATATAAAATAATGTTATACCTTGTATAACTTATACTATATTGCATTAAAATACTGTTTAATATTTTATTAATATTTACTTCCAATCTTAAATATAACACTATTCTTCCACAATTAAACCACAATGATCTAATTGTAAAAACAAATAAGTACATAGTACATCATCGTTACGTTTAATTTGTAAAGTGATATGGCTGACTCAGCACTATTTTTTTTGCAGGATGTGGTGGACGATTACGGGAAATTTTGGAAACATTCTGCCAATCGATTGGTCCAAATCGTATGCCAGGAAATTACAGATCGATTCCCTACATTTAGAACAGGTAAATATTAGTTTCTTTTTTTTATTATCTGCCATTTTATTATTACCAATTTTTGGCATGGTTTTTTGTTCAAATGCGTATACAGGGTTGTTCACCACATACGACACGGAGTATTGTAGCTAAACGATTAGATTTTTACATATTGTAAGTTTTGGGTTCGTTGAAGGACTATTAGAGCTACAATTTAAAAATATTTTTACAGGATACAGAGTGTCCCAAATAAATAAAAAATATCAAAGTTGTATTTTTTTAAATGGAACACCCTGTTTATTATTACATTTTTAGTTTCTACGATTAAAAATAAGGTTAATTTGATAAAGGTTTATTACACTTAAACCTTAAACCTTACCGTTTTAGAAATATTTTCAATTTTGTGAAATTGCAGTCAAAATTTTAAGGCTTCATTTCTCCAAGGGTATCAAAGTTTTTAATACTAAATATTTACTGAAGTTTATTTATTGATCAGTTATTGTGTTGCAATAATAAAAATTATACTACCTCATACAGAGTGTCTAAAATTTTATTTTAAATAATTACTAGCTTTAAACGGCAATAACTTGTTTAAACTAGGTATTTATTATAGTTCTATAATAAATACTAGGTATTTATTATAGTTCGTGTGTACTTACTTTAATTTAAATATCGTAATCTTAAATTATACAGGGCGTTCAAAATTCCACGCCAAACTTTCTAAAGTATAAATAATGTTTCTAAGTTTTTTAAATGGAACATCGTGTATATTATTTTTTATTTAGATGCAGAATCAAAAAATGAACATTTTTTGTGTTTAAAGTATTTCCATATTTTTAACGGTTTCGTAGATATTCGCTGTATTATTTTTTCAACAGTAAATTTTTATCAAAGCCACCTAAAGACTTTTGCCTGGTATTTTACTGTTTTTTTTTTGTAAAAAAGCCTCTCAATTTACTCACACTTTTTTGAGTTACCCTGTAGAAGTTAAAATAGTTTTTTGAAATAGAGCCTAGTAAAAAATCTCTAAGTAGTCTTTTTAAATGACTTACAAATGCCCGGTGTACTGTTGCAGAACCCTGTATAATATTTTTGAAGCGTTCACGTGTTAAAAAAAGCTGTGTTACAGTTCTTCGAAACGACAAACGTCATTAACAAGCGAGCTCTAATTTAAAATAATTATTTTAACAGATGAGGTAGTCCTCGTCTGCCATTATCGTTTGGTATAAATGTACCGTATATATTTGTCTCTCTCCATACTAAGCACAATGTGTGTGGGACAAATTATTTAGAAAGGCGAAATAAAAAAAATAACGCACATCTGGTGTATATTATGATTGTCAGTCAGATGACACATAATAACAATTGATTTTGAAAAGAATAACACTTATTATCCAAAATTCTTCTTTTATTTTTTAGTGTAATATGTATGAATTCTGTAATGTTATACGACTTATACGGGTAAATCACAATTAACTACTAATTTTACATATTATAAACATACGATAAAAAAAAACGGTGTCAAAGACGGCTGGTAAATGACAGTGGATGATAATTTCGGCGAGGTCAAGCCCTTGACGTCATTTACCTAACCCGTACTTTTCTTTACCTTTTGATGACGCTTACTGGTCCAAGAAAATGGGCCTTCAAATACGCCGAAGTTTAGGTAAAAACTTGAATTTTTCATTTTTTGAAAGATCTAAAAAAGAAATGTGAAAGATTTTTTTTTAAATTCACCCTCAAGAAGGGGTGAGATTAAACTTAACCGAGATAGGGTGGCTAGAAGCTAGGGGATTATAGTAGAAATGTAAAAAAATATATATGTAAGTTGCGGAAAAATTCATATATGTATTTAACATTTTTATTCAATTTGCTTGGGAAATTATAAATTTTAATCAAGATTTTTTTAAATTCACCCCGGGGTTTCAATAAAAGCTGTCCCCTATAGCTTCTAGCCACCCTATCTCGGTTAATTTTGATTTGAGTAAAAAATTTAGAGACAATTTTTATGTAAAATTGGATGCTCTACAACTTTTTTTTTTCTAGTTTTTAATGTTTCTCGAATTTCTCGAGAAAAAATAATTTTGTTTATTTATTTCACCCCTTCTGGGGGTGAATGTAAAAAAAATCTTTCACAATTCGTTTTTAGATCTTCCAAAGTAACATATCAAAAATTCAAGTTTTTACCAAAACTTCGTATTTGAAGACCTATTTTCTTGGATTATTACATCCAATTGGCCTTAAGAAAGTTCTAGTTAATTTATTTTTATATTGAGAAAACTTACTTTGAAATAGTGTAGTTTAAACCGTTATTTTTATTTTTGGCGTTATTCCTTTGAAGAGACCTCTTATTGCTGAACGACCAACAGTTCGGCTTCAGGTCCGGACGCAGCACTGTGCTGGCTATTCTGGACCTCGTGTCATTCATCTTGGATGGCTTTGAGGGTAGAGAACATGTTGGCGCGGTATTTTGCGATTTAAGTAAAGCCTTCGATTATTAGTGTCTCACGAGTTGCTCATTAAAAACTCGACTATTATAAAATTTAGTGAGGGTAGTGTTGCCCTTTTGAAATCCTACATGGGGACAGAATAGAGAGAGTGGTCGTTGATGGTGTGTGGTCGAACCCAAGACCTCTTAAAAATGGTGTCCCACAAGGCTCAGTACTGGGCCCTTTACTTTTTTGATTTATATAAACAACTTACCACATATCCGACGTGACGACCACTACGTTTTATTCGCAGATGATACAGCGGTCTCGGTCAGAGGAAAAGAACTAAAAAGACCTAGAGGAGGCGCGGATGACGCTCAAGCGAGGGCGGCTGACTGGTTCCGGAAAAATAACCTAGTTTTAAATGAGGCCAAAACAAATCGTGTAATTTTTTTCTTTGAGGAGTGTGCCTGAGGACTGTCGCTTCTCCGGGGAATCTGTTCCATTTTTAGGGGTTCAGTTGGACAGTGAAATGAGATGGAATGCTCATATTGAGCAACTATGCAAGAAGCTAAGAAGCGCGCTCTTCGTTCTGCGTAATTTGTCAGGTACTTTGTTTCCTGTTGCGTATTGCGGACGGCTTTACTACGCTCTTTTTTCATTCTGTGATGTCCTACGCTGTTTTGGCTTGGGGTCACGCACCTCAGTGGCGCAGGGTTTCGCGCTTTAGAGGAGGGCTGTGAGAGTTGTCGGAGGATTGGGCTACAGGGATTGCAGGGAAACCTTTAAAATGTTAAATATACTTACTCTCCCAAATCTTTATATATTGGAAAATCTATTATATGTTAAAGCCAATACGGAAAAATATCCCACAAATGCTCAGCACGGCTCTCATGACACTCGTAGGGCGGAGCACCTCAGTATCCCTATACATAGATTAGAAAGGTCCTGAGATGGACCTAGATACTGGGGTGTGAAGTTTTACAATAAACTCCCGGATGGGTATAAACTATTGTCCGATAAGGTGTTTAAGGGCAGGGTTCGTGGCTGGTTACTTGATAATCCACTGTATGACACGAGGGGAGTTTCTTTCAAGTGATATACATATTAATCTCACTTGATGGAAATTCCTTCTACAACAGAATGTGGGGAACTGGAAACTCCCAATCTCTATATTTATATTTACAATGTATTAACTAGAATATATTATTAGATTTTAGGATAAATAAAACACCAAAACGACCTATTTTGTACTCGATACAACACACACCATCATTTATTTCAGACTACTTTTTATTACCCATAATTCCCATACACAGTTCCCATATGACATTCTCATCTACTTCCGCTAGGGTGCCGGTAAATTTAAATTTTTGATACAATATTCCAACACCCCCACTTATCAAAAATATAAAAATAACTAACCTTTTTCTAAACCTAACCCCTTTACAAAATACATATGTTTTGTACCTCCAACACTTTTTGTTAATATATCAGCTATCATATTTTCTGTTTCTAAATATTTTAACTGAATAGTGTTTTTATCAACTGTTTCTCTTATAAAATGATACCTGATATCTATATGTTTAGAGCGTTCATGAAAAATTGGATTCATTGATAACTTAATGGCACTCTGATTATCATTAAAAATTGTTACACTATCCAATTTATCAGTCAGCTCGTAAACTAAATTGCGTAAATATATGGCCTCTTTAGAAGCATCACTGAGTGCCATATATTCTGCCTCCGTGCTGGATAAGGCTACAGTTTTCTGCTTCGAACTTTTCCATGATATGGGGCCACCTGAAAGCTTAAAAATATATCCAGTATAAGACTTTCTATCAGCTTTATCTGATCCCCAATCAGCATCAACATATCCTAGCAAATTTATATCATCCTTAGTAAATTTAATTACATAATTTTTTGTTCCTTTCAAATATCTCAGTACTCTTTTTGCACATTTCCAATGATAACTGTTATTACAATTGTTAAATTTACTAAGAAAACTAACACTAAACGATATGTCTGGACGTGTTAATACTGCTAAATACATTAAACTACCTATTAGTTTTTGATATTGACAATTATTAACATTTGTATCACAATTATTTTCATTAAAATCAAAACTTTCCATTGGAGTAGTAACACTTTTACAATCTAGCATATTAAATCTTTTAAGAACCTGATTAACATAATTTTCTTGACTTAACATTAAACAATCCTTTTTTTTACAAATAGTCATACCCAAAAATTGTTTAACTTGACCCAAATCTTTAATTTTAAATTCAGAACTTAAACATTCTTTTAAAATTTTACTGTTTTTACAATCATTAGAAAAAATTAAAAAATCGTCAACATAAAGAGCAATTATTGTCAAGAGATTGTTATCCTTTTTTGTATAAATACAGGGTTCAAATATTGACCTTTTAAAATTTAATTTTAATAAAACTTCATTAACCCTAAGATTCCAAGCTCTTGATGATTGCTTCAAACCATATATGGCTCTATTCAGTTTACACACTTTACTCTCATTACCCTTAGTTACAAAACATTCTGGTTGTTCCATGTAGACTATTTCCTGTAAATAACCATTCAAAAAAGCTGTTTTTACATCTAAATGTGTTATTTCTAAGTCTAACTTTAAAGACAATGCAAATAATAACCTTAAACTAGAATGTCTCACTACAGGAGAAAAAGTTTCATTGTAGTCCACCCCTGGTTTCTGAGAAAAACCTTTAGCTACCAAACGAGCTCTATATCTAACATCACCTTCACTATCACACTTCTTTTTGAACACCCACTTACACTTCACTATTGTGGCGTCCTTTGGCTTGTCCACAATTTCCCAAGCGTTGTTTTCTTCAAAAGAAGCTAGTTCCTCTTCAATAGCTCGCTTCCATTCTGCATGATCTGGCCTCGACATGGCTTCTAGAACACTCACAGGAGTATCATCTGTCACTAGAACTTCTTCGGGAACAATACTTTCATTTTGCTCAGCAGTAGTTAGATACGTAACATAATCAGTGAACTGCTTTTCTCGCCTTGGCCTCTGAGATCGTCTTGCTGCTTCTGGATCAGACAAAGTCGTGTCTGGCACATCTGGTTCATAGTCACTGTCTGTAGAGTCCATATGAACTGAAGATTGTTCTTCTGACTGTTGATATAGACTGTCAAGTGAACTATGTAAGCTGTTTTCACTAACCTGTGTATTTTGCTTATTTTCCCCCACTTCAACTGACTCCTCTGTTACTTCACTGCCATAGCTAACATTCATTTTATTGGTTTTCAGGTTTTCATGTATAATAACATCTCTGCTTGTTGTTACATCATCAGTGTCTGGGTTGTAGATCCTATAACCCTTGATATGATCTGAAAAACCAACTAAAATATGTTTACAAGCTTTTTTGTCAAATTTAAGACGCTTCTCTTTAGGAATATGAGCCATTACTGTACTGCCAAAGATTCTTAGACCTGAAACATCCGGTTTCTTCCCTGTCCACTTCTCAAAGGGTGTTTTTCCATTTAGTCCACTGGCTATGCATCTATTCCGTAGATAGTTAGCGGTATTTACTGCCTCTGCCCAAAATCTTTTTGGTAGACCTGCATCATACAGTAAACATCTTGCTTTTTCAACCAATGTTCGATTGTGTCTTTCTGAAAGTCCATTTTGTTCAGGAGTATAAGCGTTCGTCTTCTGGTGTATAATACCTTCTTCCTGAAAAAATCTCTCGAACTTATTGCTACAGAACTCACCACCTTGGTCACTGCGGAATATCTTGATGTTTCTGCCTTGTTGTTTTTCGACCATTGTTTTAAATTCCTGGAAATACTTGAACACCTCATCCTTTGTCTTCAAAAAATAGACAAATGACATTCTTGTAAAGTCATCGACTAAAAGTAAAAAATATTTTGAGCCACCAATAGAAATCGTCTCCATAGGTCCACAAACATCTCCATGTATAACTTCAAGCACTTGGTTGCTTCGTGTTCCTGTGGTTGGGAAAGGTAGCCTGGTTTGTTTGCCTTCACAACATACCACACAATTTGACTTGTCAATTCTTGCTACTCCTTTCAACTCCATGCCACTTACACAGTGTTTCATCTTGTTTAAGTCTTGGCAATTTATGTGTGCAAGCCTCCTGTGCCAAAGTTCACTGTCATCGCACGCTGCAAGCATACATTTTTCAACTTTCATGTTTACTTTATACACACCTCCAACTAGAGTTGCTGTAGCCACCAAGTCGTTATTCCTACTGTATATCGAACAACCTTCTTGGTTAAATGACACTCTATTTCCTTTAGCAATCAGTTCACTCACTGACAAAAGATTTGTCGTCAGATTAGGCACGCACAAAACACCATAAACAGTTATATTGTTCTGTGTGTCTTTTACACTTGTAGAAATGTCCATATCGCCTAAACATTTCACTGCTAATTTTTCGTGGTTAGCAACAGTAATTTCTTCAATGTCTGGTTTTCTCTTGTTGTATAATGCATTTTCATTGGGAGACATATGCCTACTCGCACCAGAGTCCAAATAAAAATCATTCTTATTGTATTTTCCGCTTAAAAATACAGCACTGAAAGCATATTTCGAAGAATTCGACGAAGAAACACTTAAATTTGGGCATTTCGACTTAAAATGTCCAGGTTGTTTACATTTGAAACAAATTATTTTACTTCTGTCAATTTGGCGTCTGTCAGAATCACGCCGGTCATCCACAGATTGATTACTACTGTTAATTGACACTTTTCTGTTAGAATTACTGCCACCTCTTGACTGATTTCTGAAGTTACTACCGCTTGCTGCAAAGGCACCTGCTTTGCCGACACTGCCAGAGTTTTCTTCTTGCATATCAAGCAATTTACTTTTGATGGTATCTGTTGTGATTGCGATTCCTGCATGCTCGATCGCCATCAACATGGGGGCGTACTTGTCTGGTAAACCGGCCAGCAGAAGGGAACCTACCCATTCTTCGCTTATATCAAACTTGGTTTTCCTTAACTTCTGTGATGTTTCAATCACTTGATTCACGTACGACTCCATATTTTCACAACTACTCAATCTCAAGGATATTAAATGTCGCAAAAGCCCTATTTTTCTGGTAAATCCCACATCTTCATAGAGTGATTGGATCTTTTTCATAGCTTCATTGCATGTGGCCGCGTCTTTAACATGCACATATAAGGAAGGATCTAATGTCAACACGAACTTCGCTTTAGCTTTTGCCAGAAGTACACTGTCTGTCTCGGTGCCTTCCAAACATTTAGAAAGTCCCTCGAGTACAAAAACGTTTTCTACCGCAAAGCACCATTCGTCGTAGTTTTCTCGACCAACTAGCTTCGGAACGCTTGCCAAATAGTTGACGGCCATCTTGTGAAAAAAGGAACGCCACCGATACCCGATTACGACGCAACGAAAAACGACGTTTTTTCTCTTCCCTTTCACTCCGTAACTACCGAAATTCCGTAAACTTGCCGTAACTACCGAAACTCGCGTTTTGGGCTGGTGTCTGGGCCCATAACCTATTAGATTTTAGGATAAATAAAACACCAAAACGACCTATTTTGTACTCGATACAACACACACCATCTTTTATTTCAGACTACTTTTTATTACCCATAATTCCCATACACAGTTCCCATATGACATTCTCATCTACTTCCGCTAGGGTGCCGGTAAATTTAAATTTTTGATACAATATTCCAACATATATAACTGTCATTGTATACCCATCTAATATGATGGTTTTAACTTTATGTCTTTTGTGTTAATTTTTAAGTTAATTGTGTTTTATATATGTATTTTATTTTATATTTTGACTTATGTACGCCACTATTTGTATGGTATTGACATCAATAAATTATTCTATTCTATTCTATTCTATTCTAAAACATGAGAATATTTTTTTTGGGAATAGATTTATGTCTGAATTTTTTTTCAATCTTAAAAATTTATGATAAAACAGTTTTTGTCGAACCTTTGTCACAAATATTTCCAAATTTATGATTTTACCAAGATACTAAAATCGACAGAAATGTACTATATTTTTTCGTGAAGTAGTGCACACAAGTATGGACGAAAAATTGTTACTCTCAACAACACTTAAACAACATTTAGGTGGCGTACCCTACAAGTAGGAGTCATGATGATATTGAAAAAAAAAATGATCTATAATATCAAAAAAAACCCAGTCACCAATTTTCATCCAAATATCGACGTTAGTTCAGATATAATTTGGAAAAAAATAAAAATTACATAAATAGTTTGTTACTTGAATTCAGTGATGCACACTAACCACAATCTAGGAATTTAATTTGATAGTTTTTATACGGATTCCGATGTTTACCACAAGGAATGTACTAATATGGCTTTCCAGAGCTATGACTCAACAATTAACTGATACATTTTAAGAGTATTATTTCTTGGTGTGCCTTACATTGATTTTATTTTATTTGAACTATTTAAACAGCGATAAAACAAATTTTTGTTGCCCTAGTCTGGAAACAAGTTGTAGAAAAATTATACAGAAACTTATTTTTTGACACATCAAAAAAGGTTTATTTTGAGAGTGTTGTTTTTAATTTTTCAGCAACCACAAACACCTGAAGACGACCTAGACCTCTCCTCTGAAGACGAGGCTGTAGCCAACGATTTGGACATGCACGCCCTTATTTTGGGTGGTATTCAACAGGAAGCAGAACCCTTAAAAACAGCAGATGAAGTATGTCATTATTTATTTATGCTTAAACCAGATTACAACAAAATTATTAATATTTTTGCAGGTTATTCAAGAAATTGATGACATGATGCAAGAAGAAGAATATTCTATGGACGAGAGTCCTAGGGATTCGTTTGAGAACAGCGAAGTAATGGAAAAAGCTAAAGAAGTTTTGGCATCTCCTTTATATGAAGACAGTAAGTCAAATAAATATGTATGCCGGGTGTTGCATCGTCGGGCGGGACATAGGAAATCCCATGTAAATTTTAATGGGGTCAGTTATTGGCTTTCCTAATTATTTTAGAGAATAATTCTATTTAGGTTTATTGAAGAGCACTAAAACCCACATTCAAAAAGAATAACTTTAGATATTTTTGATTTGGCTGTTTACGAGTTATCGCCGATTTCTTTTTAAATATTTCTCCTTTCTTATGGCCCTGTATTTACTTATGAGCACCAGTCAAGGTAAAAGATAACTGTCAAATGAAGTTGTCATTTCAGAAATTTACCTACCTATTTAGTTCTTTATTATTATTGAAAACTCATTCCTACATAAATCTTAAAGATGTATTACAAATTAATATGAATTAAAGTAAAATAAAGTAATCAATTACAAGGTTAATTATAGTATTATTACAATATTCAATAACTTATTAATTTAGGTAGGTACTATTAAATTGTTAGAACTTTAGGATTTAAGAAGATGTTCAAATATTCCGAAAACGCTGTAGTGTGATCTATTCCTATTTCATCCTCAAGCTTCCTTGTGCTGATCTTTCCATCGTTCCCTTCCACGCACAATAAAACTTCCAAGTCGATATCATTTCTTGCATCTTCTCTTTGTTCATGCCTTACTTCACTTATCTTCAGTTATTTATTAGGGTACCACCTAGTCTCAAATCTCTGGATATTCCTTGCGATTGTAGATTTTCCAGGTATCGGTCTATTCGGATACAGAGCAGCAAACATGTCCGACACTTTTGATAACCATTTCCTTGATAATACCATTTAATCATCAATACTTTTCTTCGGTAGTATAGTTCATGGCTAATATTTTCGATGTAGGTATGAGGTTTTTAATAATAATAATAAAAGTACTAAATAGATAAATTTCTGAAATGACAACTTCCTTTGACAGTTATCTTTTTTACCTTGACTGGTGCTCATAAGTAAATACAGGGCCATAAGAAAGGAGAAATATTTAAAAAGAAATCGGCGATAACTCGTAAAGATCAACTTCAATTTATGTCATATACTAACATACCAAATCTCTTTTGTTATCTAAAAAAAAAAAAAGTTGAAGGGGTGAGTCACTTTTGAGACGCACCTGCCATATTATTGTCTTAATACTTCAAAAAGCAAAAATACGATTTTTTAATACATTCTCTGTTTTTTTTTTCTCTAGAATTGAAGGATCTGAAGTCTATCTCAACTAAATGAACTCTTCCTTGAATTAGAAGTACTGATCAGAGAGTTCTCAGAAACTCTTATTACGGAACTGGCACTCAGAGACGAGCTTGAGTATGAGAAAGAACTCAAAAACACTTTCATTTCGCTGTTGTTGGCCGTCCAGAACAAGAGAAGGCAGTACCACGTTGAAAGGAAAAGAAGTTCGAAAAGTAATTCAGTTAAAACGCCCAGTGGACTGGACCCAAAGGTAATGTTATTTAGTTTGGTCAAAATATAACTTTTAATTTTTGTCCCTGCCTTTTTCAGTATTTGACCACTGTCATTCCTTACCATATAGATAATGGTACACCAGATAATCAAACTTTACAAGTTCTAATAAAAAGTATGTTTGTTTTTTATTATGAATAAAATATATCTTATAGCTATAATTAAATAATTTTCTTTAATATTTATTTGTTTATTGTTTCTAGTTCTAAAAGCTATTAATGAAGATAGTCCCACTGTACCCACCTTGCTTACAGATTATATATTAAAAGGTAAAAGATCCGTTCTTTTTACTACCGTACGATCGAAAAAAAACGGCGTCCAGTTAGCTTGCAGCTTGGAAATGAACATCTATGACATTCCCTCCCCATATAATTTTATATATAAAATGACAGCGATCTTCATTTCATAGCCATCGCTGACGCCGTTTTTTTTCGATCTTATAACATATTTCATAGTGTTTTTAGCCTGTATGGTACTGTTTTAATAAACTACTTTTAAGTTTTTTACAAGAATATAAGAATTTAAATCTGTCCAATTCACCGGTCAGTTGTATTTTCTGTCGGTTTTGGATATTCTGTCATAACCAACAAGAGATACAGGCCAGAGACATCGATTTGTGACGTCACCGCAATAGTCGGGCTTTTGAATTGTGCCATATGGTACTGCCTATAGTTTTTGCATAAATAATAGTATTTATTGATATAGTCTGTCCAACGAGAAGATCCTTGACAGTGATAGATGTGTCTGTCATTTTAATTTCAAAGTAGTTTATTTTATTTTACAAAGAAATAAGTTGGTACAACTGGAACGCATAGCAGGAAATATTTAAAATTTGATTGACAAGATGACAAGTGATTACTTCAAAATATTGTGAAAAAACTGTATAAAACTGAAAAAATGTAATCGAGTTATTTTTATTTAATAAAACCGGTATGTGTTAATACAAAACAAACTACATACAGAAAAAAAAGACACTACATACCAAAAAATATAAAAAAGAACTATTTTTTTACTTTCAAGCTTTATGGAAACTACCCGCATTTATGATTATATTTATCAATATAACTTATGTACAAATACAAATTTGCAATATTCCACAGGAATAAATAAAACAACAACATAGGTAAATAAAACAAACTATTTTATTAATAATAACACCTACCAAATTTTATACCTTGAAGGTTGATTAATTAACTTTAATCTTAATTTTTAATAAACCAGTTACCTCTTGACATTATTTTTCTGCAGTACTAAAATCCATTATTTATCTATCGTGTGATGTCGATATTTTACAGCTACTCCAGTTTTTAGTATGTGTTTAGTTTGATCCTTATATACGAGATGCACTTATCTACGACGAAATGGTATACAAACTTTAACGATGGGGTGTATAAGACTTTCTGCCTGGGCAGCGAGTATTAACCATAAACTGTGCTCTGGGTCTACAGTTAATTTTCACTCCGATTTTTCTCTCCACTTGACTTCAAAAAGACACAAAACACACGTAATAATACGAATCAAAATGCATCATCTTCCAAAACGCAGGGTATTTAACAAAAAGTTGACACAAAAATTATAACCTATAATTTGGCAAGACTTTGACAAGCGTCAAAATGACAAAATCTAAAGAGCGAGTTCATACGCATCGTTCCATCAAACCAATAAAATTGAAATACGATCTGTCATTTTTAAATAAACCAATAAAACTGGTTAAAACAACAAGACACGACGCATGACGGATTTATATTTAAAACCCATCCATAGATAACTTAAAAATTATTAGAAACTTTTTTTAGTAAAATAAATAGATTGGTATGGGACGTCATCTGCTTTTCTTCTGTCATCGTCTGTCGAAATCTTACCTGAGAAAAAAAACAGAGTATAGTTTTGCCAGATATAAATATGAAAAATATTATACACAAAGGTATTAAAAAATAACATTAACTTTTTATCGCGTTAAAGTAATTGAATAGCATTAAAATTTAGATCTAAAACACGAATATTAATATGAAATAAACAACAGCATAAGATGAACAGAATAAAATCCAGATAATAAAAAGCATGTCCTAAAATTGCGTTAGCGAGTATTTAGCAGCTAGTAATAATATATCTTGTGATAAAGTTTCCAAATATTAAAAAATTTGAAAACTATACTTTATCGACAAGTTTAGAAAATGTATTGTATATGATAAGGGCAGAATACATTTTAAAGTTTAATTAAAAATAATTGTAAAAGTTTGCCTAACATATTATCATTAAGTAATTTGTAGTTCGATGTTCAAGTAACCATTTCCATAAATCGTAAATAAAATGATAAAGATATTTTTTTATATAAAATACTGAAATAAAGTACAAATCATTTAATTTCTTTAAAATATATTGCCATTTCATAATAATAATAATAATTTTCAATATTTATTTCATCCTGAATTTCCAAATCTTGTTTTCTTTCATCGGGATGTTTTCTCTTTATGGGAAATATGCACAGTTATATAAGAGGGTTGATTTGGAAAAATTGTAGGCACAGCATCTTCTGTAGGTTTTGGACGTGACTTAGTTACAGTTAATATTGTTGGGAAAGAGAATGTAGACAGATCCTGAGTACTTATTATAATTGCTGCTACAAGGCACAGGCACAGAACAATGTCGCAGCATTTTTTTATTTCACAAAGTAAAAATAAAGAAACGACAACTGTTTTACCTAAAAATACACGTCACTTACGTTGGTTTAACACTATACACTAACACTAACTCTATTAATTATGTTTTTATATAAATTCCCCAACTTTTTCTTAGCCCGGATACACAGCCGGCATCGCCGGTGTTACTATAATTTTTACCGAAAGTATAGTTTTTTTCGTGGGTACGATGTTATGAATCGGATCTAGATAGTTCGCTATTCACTCAAAATTATTTAGTATAATTTTATTAGCATAGAAACGCGTAAAAAACACAGATTTGTTGCGAAACTAATGAAAACAATTGGTTTGTTTACGACTACTAATTCTCGACCACTTCGGTAGAACTGTCAAAACAGTCAGGCCTTGAATATGACGTTAGCCACGGTTCTGTCTGTCAGAACCTTCCCTGGCTCTTTGAACAGACTATAGCTACAGCAATCAATCTATATAATATTATTTCAAGTACTTATACAGGGTGTCCCAGAAATAAGTGCAAGTATTTTAAGGGGTATTTTTTAATTTCTTGTACATTTAATCTACTACCTATGTTGCCATATTATCAAGAAATTATTATTTTTAAATAAACACTAAAAAAATTTCCAAAGAATTTTTCAACAAATTGCGGATTTTCAAAAAAAAATGTTATATAGGCGTATTTCTAGGGTTGCTACCAGTTAAAATACTTGCACTTATTTCTGGGACACTTTGCATATTGTTATAAAACTAAACTTAAATAGAAAATCTAGTGATAATTTCTATATACATAGCTAAAAACAACCTTTTTTTTCTAGTTATATGCCCAACGTAAACCAATACCTAGGATAGAATAAACTCGCACAAGAGTGGTTTTTTTGACAGATCTAGCAAAATATTTTTAGTTGTCACTGATATATGACGTCTATATATGACGTTACGAAGGAATGGATTCCAACAAATTTTTTTGACTATTGATTAAGGTATTTTTGCATTTTTTTCCTTGTAATTTTTTGCGATTAATATACCGGTGTGATCGAATAAAATCTATGTCATGGTAGGCTTAGCGAAATAACGTATATACATTTTTTTTTTCATTTGGGCTTTATTACGACGTTTCTTACTATGACATTGTTTTTATTCGATCATACATAAAATGAGGAATATTCAAGAAAAAATATTATTGTTATGATTAATCAAACATAAATGAAGTGTTAACTCAATATAGTTTCCCTAAAATATATATGCCTCTTTATTTTCAAATAATTATTCTTTGAATTAAAAATAAGTTTTTTTAATTTAAAAAATGCATTTTAAAATATTTATGGGTACAGTTTGTTTAAGATATTTAGACACGTATTGGAAAAAAAATAGAATTTATATTTTCGATTGAAGGTTAAGTATTGTTTTATTTTTTTACTTCAGAAAGTCATTTTACTTTTGAGCGAATTCACTGTATAGAAAATAATATTTTTTATTTTTTTTAGTTTATCTGTAGTTAAAATAATAATTTTTGAGTTCTTTTCCCAATATACAGTGGTGGCCAAAAGTATGGAAAATTTTTTAATTTGTCATTTATGCTGAGAAATTAAAATATGAAATAAAACGACTTATATAATCGTGACCTACAAATAATTTCCTACAAAACCTAATACATTTAAATAAAAAATTACAGCTATCAAAAAATATATAAAAAATTATGAATATTTTCTTGGTCAAAAGTATGGAAACTTAAGAAGAATGTTTATTAAAATTCAAGATAATATAAAAATTACGAATATTTAGTGGAATATCCCTTTGAATTACTTCTCTACATCTTCGTGGCATCGAATCGATCAATCTCGTACAATCTTTACTGGAAATGGCCGCCCATTCAGTTTTTAGCACTTCCCATAATTCATTTTTATTTGAAATAGAATGGTTTCGAATTTTGCTATCCAAATGGTCCCATAAATTTTCTATGGGGTTAAGATCCGGAGACTGTGAGGGCCAATCCATTACTGGAACATTATGTTCATTTAACCAATTTTGAACAAACCGAGATTTGTGCTTGGGATCATTGTCTTACTGGAACAACCATCTGAGTGGCATTTCTTCATCAGCATGAGGCAGCATATTATTCTCCAATATGTCTTTCTACAAAAAACGGTCCATTATCCCATCAATTTTAACAAGAGGACCAACATCTGAGCGAGAAAAACACCCCCATACCATTATACTCCCACCCCCATGTTTTACTGTGAGCATCTTGTACTTATGGCTGTACCGTGTACCTTTTGGTCTTCGGACATAACGTCTCCCGTCACTACCAAACAGTTGAAACTTGGTTTCGTCGCTAAACAGTACAGTATTCCATTTCTGATAAGACCAGGTGAGATGATCTTGAGCAAATTTAAAGCGGGCCATCCTATTTTTCTTTGATATTAGTGGTTTCTTCACCGCAACTCTTCCAAAAAGTCCCATGTCATCCAACCTTCTTCTCACCATGCGTGCAGACACCGATATTCCCCTTTCACCCTTTTCTCGAGAAATGTCTGTGGATGTTTTTCTTGGATCTCCCATTGATATTCTCTTCATTACTTTCATTGTCCGGTTGCACAACTTTCTTGGTCTTCCTGACTTAAAAGCTGTTGAAACGTTTCCTGTTTTATTAAATTTACAAATTATTTTCGAAACGGTGCCTTTTAAAATGTTTAAATTTTTACTTATTTGAATTTGTTTATAACCGCTCTTGTGTAATTCAACTATTTTATTTTTTAAATCCGTAGAGAAATATTTAGACTTGGGCATGATGTTTATATTTATCTGAAGCAAATCGTACCGTTTATCAGCTTAAACTAAATAATTTTAATGTATTTATTTATGGTTTCCATACTTTTGGCCACAAGAAATCTATTGTTCTCCTACAAAAACTGCTAAACAGATTTTTTCGCTGTGTAATTTTTGGAATACTTTTATTTGCTGATAAGCTGTTCATTTATATTCCTGAGAATTTAAGCATAGCAATATTTTCTGTGATATTTTAAAAAGTAAAAAGTTTCCATACTTTTGGCCACCACTGTTTGTGTCAAAAGATTTGGACACGCTGTATCAAAGAGATTGATAGGGACAAAATCAATCAAAGGAAGTTGATTTATTATAAAAAATGCATTTTATTGTGTCATATCTGATTCTAGTCTACTTCTTTTATTTTAGACTTAGAACCTAAGTTTATATAATTATAGATGTATTTTTTGATCATTTAATATAGAGACATACCGTGTGATCGAAAAAAAAAACGGCGTCACACAGTCCAGCGAGTCAAATCTACTTCATCGTTTAAATAGTATAGTTTGGCGAATTTTGACGGTGCGATAAAAATTATCGTTCATTTTTATTATAAAGGTTACCGTGACGCCGTTTTTTTTTCGATCGCGTAGTATTTAATGTTGTGTACGTGGATTCATACCAACCTGCAGCTTTCTGTGATTTTTGATATTTATTTTAAAAAACTTGTATTGATCGTATGTCATATAAATATAATTATTTTTTATTTGTATAAAATTGCGAATATACTGCGTGAATGGACATTTTTTTTAATACGTTCTTGAATTATAAAAATGTTCGGATCTTTCAGAGAGAATCTTTTGTTCTCCTTTGTATATATTTTTCAGATTATCACAAAGTAATTCAAATTTATTTTTTTCCTAATAAATATCTTTAGAACTCAATATACAGGGGACTCTTCATTCCGTAAAACGCCTATATTATTAGCTGTAGCTCATATTTTAATATTATTTCTGTTAAAAATATACAGAGCGATTCGGACTATACGTTTGAATCACTCTGTATAATAAAATAAATATTTTTAAAATGTGTAAAAATCTAATCTTTATATCCTGATATTTTATGATTTTTTTTGGAATAATGGGCCACCCTGTATATAAAAAATGTGGTGTTTTTAATCACCACAAAAGCCCTATAGAAAAATTAAACAATAACTAAATAATCATACACGTTTATATGTATAAATAAAATAGGTGTTTTAAAAATATATTAACACAAAATATATTTAGATTTCAACGATTTTAAAAACTGACAGTTAAAACACAATAGTATTATTATAACTTTATATTGTTTTAAATCATAGGTAGATATTTGCAGTAATTTGTACAAAAGCGATGTAACATATAATTACATAATGTTTATTAAGTTATTTATTTTTTTAAACAACCCTCTGTATCTAGTTCACGCTTTCTTGCCTGTATTTATGATTTTTATTTTTGATGTTTCAAACCAATAGGATTTTTAAATTATAAGACTATTTCTTGCTCTGTAATTGTTAAAGCTATAGCCTATATACGATGTTTAATTGAATTTACTAAAGTATGTAAGTTTAAAGATATGAATCAGGATTTTTTTTCATCCTTTCGAGGAATATTAACTTTCCTTTCGTTCAGAAAGCTTAAATAAAGACTAATTAAATAATTGTCTTGTTTTATTTTTAAAGAAGAAATAGTGTTTTTTAATTTTCAGAATTTATCTGATAAAAATTTGTTGAATATAATAATAAAATTAATTTTGCAACAAAAATACTTTTCCTAAATTTTAAAATTTAGGATATAGATTTAATAAAACGTCTTTTCGTATAATTTCTGATTTAAAACATAGATGGCGCTAAATAAAATTAGTTAACTTTGCCGAAATACTAAATCTGTAAATTAAGTTTTCATTACTTAGGATATACACTAAATAAAATGCCTTTAGTGTAATACAGCACTAGGTTCATAGATGGCACTAAATGCAATACGATTAATATTACCGAAATACTAAAATTCTAAAAAAAATCATAATTAAACATTTTTAAAATATTTTTACCAGTAGAAGTAAATTAACCATTACAAATAAATAAAACATACTTTTCTCTATTAATTAACACAGATTGTTTATTAATTGCTAGTTCAGTTTCGTAATCTTTGTTGGTCAAACATTTTGTTCTTTACGCCTGTGTTGCCAAGATATTATCGAAGTCCTGAAACTAATCAAAATCAGGATTTTTGTAAGTATAAAACGAATTATACCGTTCAAAATCATGATAAATCTAATAAACATATAACGTAAACGTTGTTTCAGCAGAATAAATAATATTTCTTCTTCTAGATACAGCATTATTTATTTTATACAACATAAAATGATCATTTTGTTTTACATCTATTCAATCTGACAACATTGACAGTGCGCCATGTTTTCCGTTGTTTGCAGTTTGTCGTTATGTCGCTCTTACAATTTTTCTGATTTTTTGGTAGTAAAAGTGATTATTCAGAACACTATTTGAGTGTAATCTGTTCCTTAAGGCCTATTCAATCGAAAAATGTAAGTACCTCTTATTTTGTCTGCTTTCTATAGTTTTTTTCACTTTCAAATATTTCAATTACATCATCGTTAAGAGCTGATACATTTTTCCTGTTTTCACAATTTTCTTTCTCTAAATTGAGTATACGGAAATATAGATACTTTCCTTGATGTCTCTATTGTACATTAAAAATAATGTTATTTAGAATAATGCTCTATACTTTGAGATATTTGGTATTTTTTGGAGCATTTTTTTTTGGTAGTTTAAAGATGTTTTGCATTCCCAAAGGTTTTTTTTTAGGTTTTTATTTGTATAGACAAATAAGATTTTCTACGTCGTTTAGAATAAATCAGTGTTATTATACCTAAAAGGGCCTTTCCATTTTCAATAATTATATAATATTTTTAAATAATAAAACGTTTACACATCACAGCATGTTTAATATCTAGGTAGACTGTTGTCACATTTAATTAAGTTAGTAGAATAATATATAATGATTTATTCCATTTTTAGGAGCGTTATTATTAGAGACATGGATCACTCCTTACTTGATGTTTGACCATTATTCTCTCTGTCTGGTTTACAACATTGGTCTCATTGCTTTGATTTAAAAGTATATTTATTTTACTTTTTTTACAGATATTTATATTTTAAGAAGAGTTGGATCACTCCCTATATTCATGATGTGTGGCCATTATTCTGGTTTACGAGATTGATCTTCAAACATCTGATTAAAAGTAAGTTTAATTTATTACTTAGAAATTAATCTTTAAAAATTTATTAACAGCCTTAACAAAAAAATATAGCATATTTAGTGAAACGTAATATCAGAGAAGAACCATCGTAATACTATTTATTTCTTTTTTACAGATTTTATACAGCAAATCGATGGATGTATACAGTTCCAGGGCAGTACATTTAATGAATTTTACCAACATGTCATCAACACTTATAAGTATATCTAAAATTTTATTTCTTTTGGGTAAATATATTTTTACTGGTTTTTAATGTTCGTCGGTTGATTTCATCATTTTCAAATTCAATGAAGAAGGAAAAAAATTCCAATGAGTCTCTGAGTTACATTTTTATGGTTCCTTATAATCACAGAAAAATTCAGACCATCTATTTTTAGTTTGAGTCAATTTTGGCTGTTGGCAACTTTTGGCCACTATTTTCTTTTTGGTATAATACCATTTACTTAGAACTTTACTTGATTGCGTACATCAAGATGTTATATTTTCATTTGATCGTTTTTTATTTTGTGATTTTTTTTGTTTACTTCTATTTCTCTAAATACTTGGCTTCCCATATCTTCTGGATTATGGAAATAATATCATCATTTTGTTTGTTAATAATACCGTCTACTTGCATTTTTGTTCATTTTGTTTTTGGTTAAAAATAAATATATATAATAAATTCTGACTTGTCTACTTCTGTCTGTCTTCTTCCAAATAAAATTTCCTGAGTAATATCGACTCCAGAGCATCATAGCTAACCTCCCCTAAGAGGAGGAGACCCGGGTCGCCCCCTAACCCTGATGTTCGAGCATCGATGACCTATGTAGCATGCATAGGTACCCAAGGGAGTCACCACCCTCTGGTTTACGAGCTAGGTGTTCTAACGCTAGAGGCTTCGGCCGGATACAACCTGGCACCCAAGCTACGAGACTTCTTCGTGCACGTATCCCGTGACGTCTCGATGGTAGAGGGGGCGGGATATCGGACACATTGAAGATGATGAGGGGGGTCCGCCTGTAGGGGGTCCCGGTGGATGTCCGCTCGATGGGTGACGAGGGTGACCCGAGACGAGGCTGCTTAGCTGGGATGGGAACTGACTGGTGAGGCTTAATCGTCGGCCAAGGGTTAAATCTGATGAAGGGGGGCGAACCTATATGCTCTGGAGGATTTTTTCCTATGTGCTTCATGTCAAATTTTTACTAGATATTCGCTAGAGGAGGCTAAGCATAATTTTTGGTTAATTTTCCAGTTCTTATTGACCACATGCTTCTTTATTTTTTCTCTTGCTTTTTTCAATTTATCATATGCCTATTTCATTATTTTTCACTCATGTTTTCTTTGTTATTGGAATATTATCATTCATCACTTATCACTTTTGCAATTGTCTTATTTATTTTTTTAATTTTTTGGTATCACCTTTTTCAAACTTTTCTTAGACATTTGAACATTTCTATTGCCTTTTATATTTTCTTAATCGTTTTCATGCTATTTTTTTCAATACATCATTATCTCTCTTTCATTATAAAGTCTTTTTATATGTATATAATTGTCTTAGTTCACTCATTTTTATGCATTTTTGTTAATTCTACATATCTCTATTCTGTTTTTGTTTCTCTATTATATCTTTATTTTGTGAAATCTTTTTTTCATTTATTATTTCTAAAATCTTATTTACTTGTGTAAGTTTTTTTTTCTAAAGCTTTTTTATTTCTATTGTTTGTTTATGAGGGGAGTTGTAGTTGTGGAATAATTTTCATGTCTTTCATTTCATCATATCATACAGAGTAAACTAAATTTTATTTTTGTTAAGTATAATTTATTATTTTTCTTTTACATTGATTGCATTTCTAAGTCCCCTCTTATATTTGAATTATTGTTTATTTTACTGCTATTTTACTAAGACTTCTAGGTCTTTCTATTGTCTACATTTCAATTGTATAGTTTTGGATTCATTTTCTCATTGATCTTCGTTTCATTCATTTTCTAATTATTTTTAAAATTAAGTTTTTGATTGGGATATTGTACTGCTTTGGAACAAGCATTTTTTGGGACAGCTGCACTTCAATTCAACCACATTCTTCAAGATGCGTTTAGCTTGATAAATACAACATTCGACAGTGGATGAAGAATAAAATTCATCACTGGAAGAGGAACTAAATAATTTTAGGTAAATTACACTAAAGTGTTTATTAGTAATAAATAGTGTAAAATATTTTTTGTTATAATGAGTCTAAATTAGTCTAAATATATATTTATTTTTATTTTCAGATCGTCAAATTTTTGGAAAACATTTGTTAAAAGCTGCAGCTGATTCTGGTACTTCTATTTTTCCTCCATTGGACACATCTCAAGAAGATTTTTAGAAACACTGAAAATGTTTTAAACGATTTCTGAATTTTGTTTTATATAAATTGATCTTTACTTTTTTTGAAATTATAAAAATAAAATTTTGTAATGTTGAATTCTGTAATTTATACATATACTTTTTCAAAATTTAAGTTAAAAAAAATTCTTATATCATCAAGAATATATTTTAGTAGGTTCCAGTTGTATAAAAACACAGAATTCAAGACAATCAAAGTTTTACTTTTATTCTTGAACATTTTCTTGGGACTTAATACTGTACAATCAAAAAGTTTCCTGATCGAGCAGGCTTTGACCATCGATAATAATCTTTTCCCATGAAGAATTACATTAAAAATATTATAAATTTTTATACTCCGAAGAATATTATTTTTGATTCAATAATTAGAGTACCATTTATAATTATGTTGGATGTCGATACCGTATGATCGAAAAAAAACGGCGTCAGCGATGGCTATGAAGTGAAGATCGTTGTCATTTTATATGTATATGGGAAATGTCATCGATTGTCATTTCCCAGCCAACTGGACGCCGTTTTTTTTCGACCACACGGTATTTATTAAATGTAATGTTTTAGTTAAGTTGTAATATACTTGATCGAAAAAAAAACGGCGTCAGCGATGACTATGAACTGAAGATCGCTGTCATTTTATATGCATACGGGAAATGTCATCGATTGTCATTTCCCAGCCAACTGGACGCCGTTTTTTTTGATCATACGGTATTTATTAAATGTAATGTTTTAGTTAAGTTGTAATATAATAAATCGAAAAAAAAACGGCGTCAGCGATGGCTATGAAGTGAAGATCGCTGTCATTTTATATGCATATCGGAAATGTCATCGATTGTCATTTCCCAGCCAACTGGACGCCGTTTTTTTTGATCATACGGTATTTATTAAATGTAATGTTTTAGTTAAGTTGTAATATAATAGATCGAAAAAAAAACGGCGTCAGCGATGGCTATGAAGTGAAGATCGTTGTCATTTTATATGTATATGGGAAATGTCATCGATTGTCATTTCCCAGCCAACTGGACGCCGTTTTTTTTTTTCGATTATACGGTATTTATTAAATGTAATGTTTTAGTTAAGTTGTAATATAATAGATCGAAAAAAAAACGGCGTCAGCGATGGCTATGAAGTGAAGATCGCTGTCATTTTATATGCATATGGGAAATGTCATCGACTGTCATTTCCCCGCCAACTGGACGCCGTTTTTTTTCCGATCATACGGTATTTATTAAATGTAATGTTTTAGTTAAGTTGTAATATAATAATCGAAAAAAAAACGGCGTCAGCGATGGCTATGAAGTGAAGATCGCTGTCATTTTATATGCATATGGGAAATGTCATCGACTGTCATTTCCCCGCCAACTGGACGCCGTTTTTTTTCCGATCATACGGTATTTATTAAATGTAATGTTTTAGTTAAGTTGTAATATAATAATCGAAAAAAAAACGGCGTCAGCGATGGCTATGAAGTGAAGATCGCTGTCATTTTATATGCATATGGGAAATGTCATCGACTGTCATTTCCCCGCCAACTGGACGCCGTTTTTTTTTTCGATCATACGGTATTTATTAAATGTAATGTTTTAGTTAAGTTGTAATATAATAGATCGAAAAAAAAACGGCGTCAGCGATGGCTATGAAGTGAAGATCGCTGTCATTTTATATGTATATGGGAAATGTCATCGATTATCATTTCCCAGCCAACTGGACGCCGTTTTTTTTTTTTCGATCATACGGTATTTATTAAATGTAATGTTTTAGTTAAGTTGTAATATAATATAACGGCGTCAGCGAAGGCAATGAAATGAAGATCTGTCATTTTATATGGAGAGATATGTAAAGTTATATGGGGAATGTCATCATGTTCATTTCCAAGCCTGGACGCCGTTTTTTTTTCGATAATACAAATATATTTTTTGTTTTATGTAGAAATCCAAATATAAGCAGAAATAATATAAAATGTATGTTTAGAAGGAATATAAATGTATTTTTTGTCTTTTTGCTAAACTTTTTTACGTGTATTTTACGCCATAACCATCCCTGATCAAAACGTTTTATGATCAAAGGAGTAATTATGGGGTATAATACTACAAAGAAACAATACGTATGGAAAATAGCACTATCTTGATACAGTATGATCGAAAAAAAGATGGCGTCCAGTTGGCTGGGAAATGACGATCGATGACATTTAAATTTACATATAAAATGACAGCGTTCTTCATTTTATAGCCATCGCTGACGCCGTTTTTTTTTCTCGATCGTACGGTATTTTAACGATCAAAATCAATGCCCACTTGACCATAAAACAGTTCTTTTATACTGTATATTAGTTTAACAAATTAGTGTAATCTGCATCCAGAATAAATTTATTCCTATTTAGATTTAGGTGTGTCTTTGTCAAATATTATAAATTAATAAAACTATTAAGAATTATTGTTGTTTTATTTCACAATTACTTACATTTACTCACTCCAAGGGATACAGTTCATTTCCTAGCTCTTATATTCTCCTGATAGTAATCGGAATTTTGTTGAAAATGAAAATTTTCAGTACAAGTTTTGTTACAAGCTCGAATATCTTTGATTTGTATCAGGAGTACACAAGAGCGAGAAGATAAATGGCTATCCCTTAAATAAAGATCAAGGTAGTAAAAACTACCTCTTCACAATTATGTGTTCCTAATAGAAATCTGGGATTTTAGGCAAAGACTAAAAAATTAAGAATTGGTATCAGGAGTACATAAAGAGAAAGGAGGTAAAAATAAATTAAATAAATATTTGGCTGCTCCTGGTATTGAAAAATACCTCCTCGCACTCATATTTTCCTGATACAAATTCAACATTTCTCCGCTTTTGACAAAACCGACCAAAAATAATTTCGACCTGGCAAAAATCGCAGTACCCGACCAACGAGTTAGAATGAGTTAGATTTTTTCGAAAAACGGCCATAACTTCTAAACTATAAGAGATATCGAGGAACGGAAGACGGCATTCGATTGGCCTTACAACCCTCTATAAGGGTGCAAATTTGGGGCGCGATCGGAGACAAAAAAATTTTTTGAGGGAAAATGAAGGAAGGTTTTTACCTTACCTCATTTTTCGCCAAAAAAAATTTTGGTCTCCGATCGCGCCCTCGTTTTGCGCCCTTATAGAGGGTTGAAATGCCTATCGAATGCCGAGTTCCGTTCCTCTCTAACCCTTATAGTTTCCGAGATATTAAGGG